ATTGTCATTATTTGCAAACAACATGATACTCTATTTACAAGACCCCAACAACTCCATGAAAAGTCTTCTAGACTTAATAACCAACTTCAGTAAAGTAGATAGATACAAAATCAACACACAAAAATCAATAGCTTTCCTGTACACAACAAAAGACTCACCAAGAGAATGGGGCAAACAATTCCTTTCACAATAGCATCCAAAAAAACTGAAATACCTAGGAATCAACCTAATGAAAGAAATCAAAGACATCTATTCTGAAAACTATGGGACTCTAAAGAAAGAGATCAAAGATGATATCAGAAAATGGAAAGACATCCCTTGCTCCTGGGTAGGAAGAATCAACACAGTGAACATGGCCATACTTCCAAAACTGCTCTATAGATTCAGTGCAATCCCAACTGAAATTCCAGCAGCATACTTCACAAACCTTGAGAAAGCAATCCAAAATTTCATTTGGAACAAGAAGAGACCTAGAATAGCAAAAGCAGTTTTAGACAATAAATGCAAAGTAGAGGGCAGCACAACCCCCAACTTCAAACTATTCTACAATGCTACTGTGATATAAACAGCATGGTACCAGCAAAGAATTGTCCCAGCAAAGAATGGTACCAGATCTGAGGACCAATGGAACAGATTAGAAGATTCATAAACAATTCCAGATACAATCACTCACTTCATCTTGGACAAAGGAGCCAAACACCATCACCAGAGATAAGATAGCCTCTTTAATAAATGATGCTGGAAAAACTGAGTTTCAACTTGCCAAGGATTAAAACTAAACCTATATCTCTCACCATGCACTAAACTAAAATTGAAATGGCTTAAATGTCTAAATATTAAAACAGAAACACTAAACTGGCTGGAAGAGAGGTTAGGCAGAACTCTGGAAGATATTGGTGTAGGAAAATATTTTATGAACAAAACCTCAGTTGCCTGTGAACTAGCACAAACAATCAACAAGTGGGATATCTTCTTATTAAAAAGCTTCTGCATAGCAAGAGAAACAACCAACAGTGTCAAGAGACAACCCACAATGTGGGAAAAAAATTTCACCAGCTGTTCCTCAGACAAGGGCTACAATCTAGAGTATGTGAAGAATTTTCAAAAATCAAACCTCCCAGATTTAAAGAGGCAGTCCAAAAATGGGCACCTGAAATGAACAGATATTTCTTAAAGAAGTAGAAATAGCAAATAAACATATGAAAAAATGTTCAGTTTAACATCACTGGTCATTCAAGAGATGAAAATGAATACAACACTGAGATTCCACCTCACCCCGGAATGAATGCCTTCTATCAGGAAATCAACCCGCAATAAATGCTGGTGGGGATGTGGGGAAAAGGAACACTGCTCCTGTGCTGGTAGGAGTGTAGACTGATGCAACCACTGTGGAAATCAGAATGGAGAAACCTCAAAGGCTAGGATTAAAAGTCCCATTTGACCCAGCTATTCCCCTGCTGTGTATCTTCCCCAAAGAATTAAAAGAATCATATCATGGTTATATATATATATGCACCAATGTTCATAGCAGCATAGTTTGTAATAGCTAAAACTTGGAAGCAGCCCAATTTCCCATCAACTGGAGACCGGATAAAGAAAATGTGTTTATTTTTAATAAAATGGAGTACTACTCAGCAATAAAGAATGAAAAATTAGAGCCTTTTATAGCTAAATGGATGCACATTGAGGTGAGACTCTTAAGTGAAATAAATATTACACATGAGTAAATACTGAATAGTTTTTATTGTGTGAGAAACTGAAAGTATAAATCAGGACTAAAAGGTATAATATATAAGGTGAAATTAGAAGAAAAGGTGAAAAGGGGAAGAGGATGTAAAGCATAGGGGAAAGAAAGAAAGGAATTGAATTAATATGAGAAAAGGAAAAATGGAAACAAAGTCTATGTAGATAGGGAGGGGTGAAGGGGTTGATGGGAGGGCAGGGGAATGAGAAAAAAAATAAGAATGAAGATAGATTATGTAAAGGTACAAATTTCCAATGATGAATGTTATTATATTGTATACCTAAAATGTACAATACAATTAATTTTAAAAAGAGTTTTAAAAACATTATGTGGCCTTCCTTTACACACACACATATATATTTACTTTTAACTCACAATAGCAATGGGCATAAATATGAAGTATAGTGTGATATTTCAGAACACGTATGTAATGTTTAATGATCAGATCAGGATAATTTGTTTATCCATCATCTCAAACATTTATCACTTATTTGTGTTTGGAACATGCAGCATCCTTTGTACTAGCTGTTTTGAAATATCAATTGTCAATTATTGTTTTCCCACTAAGATGCTATAGAACCCTACAAATTATTCCTCCTATCCACCTGCACCCCTGTACCTATTATCCTCTCTTCATCCTCCCACCCCACCTAATGTCTTGCTTGTCTTTTTTTGCTTTTTTAATCTATTCTTTTTATGTCTTGGCCAAATAAAATAATTATATTAAACTAAACAGTTCTGTACAGCAAAGAAAACAATTAACAGAGTGAAAATAAAACCCAAAGAATGGGAGAACATATTTGCAAAATGTTCATCTGAGAAAGGTTTAATCTATAGAATTCATAAATAACTCAACAGAATACAATAAAATAATCAAATTAAAATAGGTAAATGACTTCAACAGACATTTTTCAAAAGAAGATATATAAATGACTAATCAGTATATGAAAAATGCTCAACATTACTAAAAATCAGGGAAAAAAATCAAAACAGTGAGGTAGCATCTCATTGCAGTTATACTAGCTGTTATCAAAGAGAAAAAATAACAAATGCTAGTGAAGATTATGAATAAAAAAGGAAATTCTCATGCGCTGTTGGTGGAAATGTAAACTAGTACAGGCTTTGTAGAAAACAGTATGGAGACTCTTCCAAAAATTAAAAATAGAACTACATGATCCACCAATTTCACCACTAGTTATATATCCAAAGGACAGAAAATCAGTATAAGGAAAGTTCCCTTTATAATTTCAAATGCATTTATGCAAAGACACCTAATTGGAGCATTTTTTTCAGCACTGAAGATTAAACCCAGGGCCTTCACACTGAGACACATCTTCAGTTCTTTTCTTGCTCTTGCTAAGTCCCTAAATTGCCCAGGTTAGGCATGAATTTGTGATACTCCTGTCTCAGTCTCCCAAAGTGCTGGGATTATGGGCATGTGTGGCTTATGACTCATTTCTTGGTGAATAAAATCATATTCAAGTTTGCCTGAGAATACTGCTTGTGAGCATGTGTTTCAGTGACCTCATGGCTGTGGATAAGCTCAAAAGTTTATTTATCAGGACATAATTTCCATGAAGTTTCTCTATGTCCTCTGTTTGGATCACATTCCTTCAAATAAAGGAGATTATTTTGCCAGAAAATCTTCATGGCTCACTGTGAAGTTTCTCAGCTTCCAGAAACTCTGTTTGCTAATTTAGTATTTAATTTGCCCACTCATTCCCCTTTTAGGATCTTCCTGAAAGAGTGAAAGGCATTATATTACAGTGATACATGCACACCTAGGTTCACAGCAACATAATTCATAATAGCTCAATCTCAGAAGGTCGGTGTGTCCATCAGCAAATAAATGGATAAAGCAAATGTGCTATTTACACACAGTGGAGTAGTACTTTGCCATAGAGAAGGAAAAATTTGAGTCATTTGTAGGAAAGTGGACATACATTGAAACCGTAATGTTAAGTGAGATAAATCAGACACACAAACTTTAATTATGCATAGTTTCTCTTATGTGAGAAACTCACAATATAAACAAAGAGCAAAATAACAGGTAGATAAGAGGAAGTAAGCAGATAGGTCTTTTTCAAATGGGGATGAAAAAATAATTGAGATCTGTTGTCTGCATGCAACAACTCCCCACAAGGACGGTAATCATTATGTACTGCAAACATGAACTAATAAAAAATAAAAATTGGAAAAAAGAGATTTGATTTATTTCTGCTCACTTGAAATATAGGAAGCTGCAAAGATCGGTCTTTTCTTCTTCCTTAGCTCTTCATCTCACCTCAAAGCCCCGCTAGATTACAGATGCTGCCTCGAGACCTGGCCCAGGCCACCCTGGGAGTAGACGCCAGGGTAGGGGACTCTCTTGCTTTTGAGAAAAACACTACATTCAGAGGGGTCTGATTTCTTTTTCCATGAATCTAGCTGATGTGACTTTCTTGTTTTCCTTACTTCCGAAATAGTCTTAAGATAAATCTCCACCCAGCCAGGACACCCAGGCCTCTATTTTCTTGTGATATAAAACAATCTGACACACCAGACTCAAAGACTTTTCGATCTTACCATTCTTCTCAGAAAAGAAAATTGCACTTTCACACTCTAGGAAACAAAGATCTGAGTGTAAACAAAAGCAATTTTCCCCCTCAAGTGACACCTTTTGAATGGTCACAGGTATAACCAGGATTATACACACGATTCAGACATCTTAAATCATTCTTCAATAAACATTTAAAAATATCATGCAATAAAATTATACTTGTTTTAATAGTATAGAAGGCAACAAATCATGAAAGACACAAAACCCGAGGAGTGGGTTTCTGAGGAGCATTTCCCTCCTCTCCTCTAACATTCAGGCCTCCCCAGACCTCCTGGGAGAATTGGAACACTGAGGACTCTGGGGAGAACTCACTGTCCTGCTCGGAATTTGTCTGTTTTACTATATTGTAGCTAGGTTAATTTGCAAGGGTTAATGTGGAAATAAATGGCACTTCTGTGTATCAGGAGAAATAGGCTTAGGGACTGAATAAACAAAAAATAAACATGTTTAGCAAAATCAGGGGATTCTGCTATACAATGAGTTGGGTCATGGCTGCATGAATCCTGTGGCCTACAGACAGCAAGGTATCTAAAACGGGAGCAATGAAAATGTTGTGTTCATGGGGGCAGAATGTGGAAGGTAGGAGCAGACTTCTGATGGGGTTGGTAAGAGAAGGGTCTGGCTGGTCAAGGGTAGAAGAAAGAATCCGGGTCTTACCAATGACAGAGAGACTCATGGTCTCACTGCGCCGAGGGCCAAAGCCGTTGTCCGCTGTGCAGTAGTAGTTCCCAGAGTGCTCTGCGGTCAGAGAGAAGCTGAAGGAGGCTCCAACTCCAGGAGGGACTTTTCTGCTGTTCAGGAAGATGTCCTCATGATAAAACCGGTACAGGACAGGGAGAGAACCTCTGTGGGCTTCACAGTGTAGTGTTAGGACATCTCCTTCTATAGTCTGGGCTTCAGTGGTGTGGAGGGTGAGGACCGGCTGGGACACTGGAACTGAGGGAGAGAAAGTGAGGCAAAAGTCGCTCTTGCCCCTTAGCACAGGTTTTAATCTGTTACCAATGCCATTGCCCAGGCCCCAATCTCCACCGACCTCAGGGAAGCCCAGCAACCTGCCAGACTTCTCTCACCATCTCTTTCCTGTCCTTCTCTGATCTTTCCCCGGCTGCTCTTTTCCGCTTAGGTCTCTCCCTCTCTCCCTGGTGTCTTCTCTGTGAGGTGATTGTTTCCCTTTTGCCCACAGGGAAGAAGTCCTTTTGCTGCCACCAGGCCCACACCCTTGCTGCACGAGCTCCTTCATTTTTCCCTGTGCCCTGTGACCATGGAACAACTTTTCCTCATGTCACCCTAAATAACACCCTGAGAAAGTGATATCTATATTTACACATTTAGTTGCTGGACATACGAAGCTATTTTTTGTGCCAATTTACTTGCAGTTACCTCTGTGTAAAATTGTAGTCCTGGTGGGATCTTTTGTTCTTGTCCTCAGACACATATGCATGAGATCCACTCCTTCATAATCTCCTGGCTTTAATTATTTACTTTGTTAGGGCTTGACAAAATGACTCCATTTTTATTCTGAAAACTTTCACTTCTGCCTACCTAGAGTGGGCTCTCCTCTATCTTAAGACCCTGTGCAAACCTGCCTCTGACCTGGATATAAAATATTTGCCTCTATTATTTTCCTCTAAATATTTTTTGGGTTGTGTACTCCTTACCACATTAGGAAACAAGAAGACAATGCAATAGCAACCTTGCTTGCACTTAATCTTTTCCATGGTGTCTTTTCCCTCTTTTTCTATGGACAGATTTCTGGGAAAAGTGCCCTACCTTTATGGGCTCCTCTTCTTTAACTCACCTGCATTTTATATCTAATGTAACTTGGTCATTACCCCAACCAATCTACTGAAATTGATATTTCTTGTTCACGAATATAATCATGATAAGGCTATAACAAAAGATACTGATTAGGGAGGAGGGGGTGAAGGGAGGGCAGAGGTAAGGGGAAAAAAATGAGAATCAAGACTTGCCATGTAAAGGTACATGATCCCAACAATGAATGTAACTGTACTGTATCCCTAAATGTACCAATAAACTCAATAAACAA